GGTGAACGGTACTCAGCCTGGCAGCGTCAGCCTGTGAGGCTGAGCTCAGGGCAAAGTAAACCCTGAGAAAGGACAGATTGCCACACACATTAGCAGATCTCAGGCATGGCTTGTGTGTAGCAAAGGTCACATGCAAAAATGCAGACGATTGAGAGGCAGACACAAGGTGGAAATGAAGAATTATATTTTGTATGTCCAGCTCTTGAAGCTACATACTCACAGTTTCACTCGTAATAAACCGGCATTTTTAGTGCACATATTTTCAGATTCTTTTGCAGAAATCTTACTCACATTTATAGATGTGTATACACATTTATAGTTGCATTTACATATACACAAATCATACTACACATTTAAAGATGCCTGCACACCTCCACCACCACACATGTAGAGATTGAGATACAGTTCCACAACTCTTCACACACACACACTCGCAAATAATATTACTATGATAATACCCTCATATTATTAAATGGGCTAACATCCACACACTTATCTCCTTTGCACCAAAGTAATTATCTAAGCTTTCAGTCAAAAGACCTTATGTATTTTATCTAATGTTTTTAAAGTTTTACTATTATACATTGTTTATCAATATAACCATTAATTAATGTTTTACTTGTTGTGATTTAAAGTTGTTTGGTGGCATATTTCTCAGACTCTTAGTTTTTTTTACTGAGTTTTATCTAAAATATTCTACCACAGGTAAATGTGTTTATAGGTACACTTTCAGATGAGTTTACAAAGTGTTAACAGCTCAGTCATAATGGACAGTACAGTCTAACTCCCTCTGCATTATTGTAATTACAAAGAGACATTCTGTCACGGGAAGCTGTCTGTCTGACTGGCATGTTAACTACAATAAACATACTGTAAGTGTGAGCTTGTACAGTCATTTTCCGACTTTTATATTTGGATTAGCAATGAATCCACTGGGAACGGTGGACTTTGATAGTGTGGAGACATGTAGTAATTTGCTGCCATGGGTGGTCAGACTGTGAAATGTATGGGCAGTAGCCCTGGAAAAGACAGTGACTGAGGAAGGCATATCTTTTCTAAATGAGGGGTTAAATGGCACCCTGCCGTCTAAAGATTGGAATTACTGCCACATGGAGCTCTAAATTGAGTTTAAATAGTCTTAACTTGATATGTGAGATGAATGAGACTCTGTAGCCATACCGATTACCATTTCACATTGTATTAGAATGTTTTGCTCCACCCCTACTTAGAATTTCTCCAGTGAATTTGAATATGAATATGAGCTTGTTTTTATTTATAAACGTAATTACTGTCTGTCTGCAATATTTGCACGCTTGTCAAGTAGAGTGGTCTGTGTGTGCAGAATAAAAGCAAAAGCTCCCATAATTATGTTTACGTCCGGCGATGAAAATCCCAGGGTTGTAATGATCAGTAATTATAAATACTTTTCAGCATGTCTACTGCCTCAGCTGGGACTATTGTGTGGAGTGAAGTGCAGAGTTTGTGCAGCTTAATTATGACATTGTACATGACTAAATGTACCAGTCTGCTTCGGCTCTGCAAAACACTTCCAGTGCATAATCACGCTCAAGTCTGACTTTAAAGAGCTCATTACAGTTAGTTTTCTAAAGAGTGGCTTATTAAACACAGTTACCTAATAGGCATCTTTGGTGGTGCAAATTGGTAAAAATGGTAATGAGTCTGATTAGGCCACGTTTCAATTACGACAGCTTTCACTTCCCTCCCCCCTCTCGCTCAACCCTCCCACCTTCCCCTCCCCCCCAAACCAAAAAAAAAGAGGAAGGAAAGTCCAGCTCTATATGCTTGGGAATCCTCCTGGAAGGTATTTTGCTCACTCCCTCTCTCTCTCTCTCTCTCTTACACGCGCACATACACTCATGCACATACACAGAAAAAGGAAAAGAAAACCGCTCTGCCACCTCTGTGCTTCCTTTCAGCAGCACAGTAATGAATAGAGAATTGTGCAAGCGGCGGTCCAATTTACGCGCTGGGAAATTGGATGGACAGAATGGAGGCCCACTCTTGTTTGCTTAAAAACGGCCTAGGCTACCAGATTAATAGTTCCCAAAAAGGTCAGCATCTCTGTTTCATCGATGATGATCACTGAACCAGAAATTAAACACCATAGCGCAGTATAACACCATGGCGTCACATGTCAAATGCATTGCGGCTCCACCTGGTCTTCTTATCTTTAATGAGTCTGAGATCGTATATGAAATACACAATATATAACATAAATTGTCAGGACGTCGCTTTTAATCACAGTGATGATTCTATAGATTTTTTGTACAGGACAAATAAACCTCACATTTAACAGAGGATCATTCAGATCTGAGTCGAGCTGTAAGACAGACACACATTTTGGACAAAAGCTCATTTTCTTATATGTTGACCATCTTAAATTTACCATAGAGGATTATTCAGATCTATGAATGGACAAACAAGAGAAGAGTCTAACAAAGGCCTTATTTGTTGGTGGCTGATGAGTGGAATTTGAGCTCAAGCCCCAAGGCTATCTGAAAACATTCCACTAATAGAGCGCTCTGTAATTGTACCAATTCACAGAAAGACAAAGGAACCTATGCACGTTGTATTTGAATTTCTATGCAGGTGGAATAAAGGACAAGGTTTTATTGTAGAAACCAAAAGATCATTATGCTAATATTCTTGCCTAAAATGGTACATAACTTGGTCTATAACTTTTCCAGAGAAATCTGGAAATTATTTTACACTTAAACACAGCAACACAAACTGTGCAGACTATTTCATTATGTTGTTATTACTATATCCAATACTAAAATGCTTTTGTTCATTTAATATGGTTCAAAAATCCTTGTATCCCTGCATTTCTCTATGTCAGTAAGTGATATATTAATGGAATTCCTTATACAGAAATAGCATGGTTTTTCTCAGACTGTTTTAAGCACTGTACTGTATGTAGATAATCATCTTGAATGGTTTCCATTGTATAAAATACCTGGTGCTCAGCAATCTCAAGTACACTTTGCAAGTAGCACTTCTTTGATTGTCCAAAGTGGCACATTGTTCAGAGAGGATTAACAGTAATAGAGGAATCTCACTCAAAAGGCTGTGTGCAATTTTGTTATTGACAAAGTGTGCCTTGAGTGTTAATGAACTCTACTGAATGATTTTACAAAAACCATTATCCTGATACTCGCACTGCAATGTCAGTAAATGCTGTGAGTTTTTTTCTTCATCTTTTTTTTTGCCAGACAATGCACTGCGAGTTTCTGTTGCCTGAATACAGTTTTGTTTGTTTTAAAGATAACAGTTTTCTCAGGGATAATGTGGAAAAAAAAAGTCATATTCAACAGTTTGTATAAAGGTATTTTAGTGTAGTAATAATAAGAGGGGCGGTGGGGCAGGGATGTTTAAGGCTTTTCCTGGAAAAATAATTTTCCACTCAAAACCTCTGCTTTTGCATTGCACCCACCTACACACCTAAGAAAACAGCTGCTGACCTAGAACATAGTGGGTGACTAATACTTGAGAATGTAGAGCATTAGTCAGTGAGACTTAGCTTTGATATCCTCAAGAATGTCAACTCCTACATTTTCTTTTGTTCATCCAGATTTCAAATAAATAAGGTTTTCTTTTATATGGAAGATATAACTCTAAATGTAGAAATCATCATTGTACTGTGATGATAGAATTTGTTTTCATGCTTTGTTTTCTGTAGGTTAATGAGCCTCTGTGCTCCAGCACAGTATGGCCACCATATTTGTCTGCTCTGGCTTTTTTCCTCATAGCTTTTTTTCTTAATCATTAGCTTGGATAGTTGACAACCATGTGAGCCATAGCATAGATCTCTTTGACTAAAACCTTGTAAATTAACACAATTAGTGCAGCATCATCCTGCTAATTAGCTCCTGGTGTCTAGTGTGGCGGGTGGGGAAGTAGCTAGGAGGGAGTCGGAAGGGAATCTGCTTTGGCTCTGGACAGTCGGCGTTTGTTGTCGAAATCCTGTGATATGGATTTAACCTACTGAAATTTAAAGTATAGCAGTGCTTTGCAAAGGCAAGGGCCATTGTAACAGGGAACAGGGAAGGCTTGGTTAAATACATCTGCTCTCGTATCATCTTGTAGCTTTTGGTGAGATTAGTGTTGATGTAAGATGTGTGAGGCTCAGCACACTATCTCTGATTGTTTTGAGCCATAATCTCTCTAATAGTCTACATTCTTTGGGGGTATAGTACATCCTCTGATAATCCCAAACAGAGTAAAAGATGACAGCATGTGTAAAAACTTTTATTTGCAGATTGACTTTAGGATTTAACTTGATTATTTATGTCATTCACACCCTTAAGGCCATATAGAGAGGCTGCGGAGAAAAAGACAAGTGAAGCATGTTTTTTTTTTTTCTCTCCTCCCTCACTCTGTGGACTAGGAAGCAGTAGGCAGACTGGATGTGGATGTAATTCATGCTGGGCTGAGGGGTTTGTGTGATGAAAGCAACAGAGCGCTGCCAAGGAAGATTGCTTTGCTGCTCTCCTCCAAGCAGATTTGAAACTGTCTCAGAATGCCTCAGATGAGAGTTGGATTATAGACTGACCCGCAATGTCGGTGTCATTCTGCTCTGTGTTGGGTGGATTATACCACGCTAACCAGGTGTTAGATCCCACATCCTCATCCTGACCATGATGTGTGTTCAGTTGGTGTTGTCTGTTTGTCTTATAGGAGACATGTGGGCATTATGGTGCAAGTTGTATTAAAACACATTTTCTGGAAGAAAATGGGAAAAACTGTTTTAATATTTTTTTCTTTTTTCTTTATAATTTCCCACCTTTTCCTCACCTATGCAATTAGAAAAAAACAAGCAATTCTTGCATAATGAACCATTTACCAGTGTTTGAATTATTTTCTATTTGAACATTGTAGAATTTAGGAATATCAGAATATATATTTTTAATGCTTGAATGATAATTACTTATAATTTATTGCTTATTTTGACATATTTCTCCCTTATGCGGAAAATCTAGGTCTAAAGATGCAGTGGACCCCAGAGCACACACAATGGGCAGAGCAACACTTTGACATCTCATCTACTACCCGCTCGCCAGCACACAAAGTAGAAGCCTACCGGGGGCACTTACAGCGAACGTACCAGTATGCGTGGGCAAACGATGACATCTCTGCACTGACTGCCTCCAATCTGTTAAAGAAATATGCAGAGAAGTACTCTGGGATCCTAGAGGGCCCAAATGAAAGAGCCCTGCTGTGTTCCTACTCTGATAGCAGCACTGGACTCATGAATGGACGAAAGTCAGAGAATGAGTCCTGGCAGGAGGGGATTTACCCAATGAACTGTGCTCCAGATGTTATATCTGTGAGCAAAGCTGGAATGACAGCTGCCCTACCCCCTACAGATGTGTCGGCTAGCATAGGCAGCTCCCCAGGGGTGGCCAGCAGCTTGTCTGAGCCTAGCTATTCCAGCAGTAACTGTGGGAGCCACACAGCCACTACTCTCCACTCGGGCCTCCCCTCTCAGGAATATACTGCCAGCTACAACGCCTCCTACCTACATTCTAGCTACAGCAGCCAGAATACCCCAGCCCTCCCCTCCCCACATCCATCTCCTTTGCACAGTGCTGGGCTCTTACAACCGCCACCCCCACCTCCTCCTCCTACCTTAGTGCCGAGCTACAACACCGGGTCTCCAAACCTTCCAAACTACAATTATCCTCCAACAGGGTATCCTTCTCAGACTGCTGTTGGCCCAGGTTACAGCCCTGGGGGAGCACCCCCTCCTTCTGCTTATCTGCCGTCCGGTATTGCAGCTCCTACACCAATCCCTCCCTCCACACTGCCTGGCTACACCTACCAGTCCCATAATCATACGCCAATTGCACCAACACCTTTGAATGGCAGCACGTCCAACTCATTAAAACGAAAAGCTTTCTACATGAGTGGACATGGAGATATGGACTCTAGCTATGGTAATTTCAACTACAACCAACAGCGCTCTTCACAGAGCCCGATGTACAGAATAACAGACAGCAGCGTCTCAGACTCAAACAGGGGAAATGGCTTTGAGAGAAATGCAGAGGCTTCGTCTTTAGCGTTTAAACCAACCAAACAGCCAATGTCCTCTGATCAGCAAAGAAAATTTAACATGCACTCTGGCAGAGCACTAACTCCTCCCTCCTATGGATCAACCAAAAGCTCTGTGGGTGATCTCAGAACTGGTGAGCCCTACAGCAAGTTTGGATCTCCCATCATGAGTGAGCAAACTGAAGAGCACAGACAGCACCTCTCTCACTCCCTAACAGGGCCTGACCTTGGTACGGCTACCTCGTCCATCCATGCTGCGGAGGAGCAACTGAAGAACAGTGATTCCAACCTGGTGGAGATGGTGACCACGGAAATCCTTCAGCAGGGCCCTCCGGTGGACTGGAGTGACATCGCAGGTCTGGAAATGGTCAAAGCAGCAATTAAAGAGGAGATACTATGGCCCATTTTAAGGCCAGACATGTTTAGTGGACTTGCCACATTACCTCGAAGCCTCCTTTTATTTGGACCTCAGGGAACTGGTAGAACGCTGCTGGCGCGCTGCATGGCCAGCCAACTGGGGGCTGCCTTCTTGCGACTCAGCAGCTCAGGTCTGGTGACGAAGTGGCTAGGGGAAGGCGACAAGATCATCCAGGCTTCTTTCCTGGTGGCCCGGTGTCGCCAGCCGGCGGTGGTGTTCATCAGCGAAGTGGACCTGCTGCTGTCAGCCCAGCTCAGCGAGGAGAGCCCTGTGAATCGCCTCAAGGCTGAGCTCCTCATGCAGCTTGACAGTATTCTGACCTCTGCTGAGGACCATGTCCTCGTGGTGTGCTCCACCAATAAGCCTGAAGAGATCCCAGAGTCCCTACGGAGGTACTTTACCAAGCGACTGCTCATCCCCTTGCCTGATGGGACAGCACGACACCAGATAATCAGCCAACTGCTCTCACAGAACAACTACTGTCTTAGTGACAAAGAGATGTCACTGCTGGTTCAGAGGACAGAGGGCTTTTCTGGACTGGACGTGGCCCAGCTGTGTCAAGAGGCTGTAGTAGGTCCTCTTCATGGCATTCCTGGTACTGACTTGTCAAGTATCCATCCCAGTCAGATGAGACCGGTCTCCTACCAAGACTTTGACAATGTGTTCTGCAAATTTCAGCCTAGCATATCACAAAAAGAACTTGACATGTACACTGAGTGGAATAAAATGTTTGGTTGTAGTCAATGAAAGAGACCCATCAAACACAATTTCTTTAAACCCAGTAATTAAATACAAATATGATTTGGCCTTCAGTGAAGAGGAAAAATATCAAACAATGGTGACATGAACATGTTATACACAGCAAAGGGATTGTCCTTGAAAGACAGAGGACGACAGTCTGGACATCACACATTGGTAACTATTAATTAAATGCTTTATATGGCTGAAGCCATGTACTCACTAAAGTTCAAACAACTTGTAGAAGACGCCCCCTCTTTTTGTATATACATATGTGTGTATATATATACATATATATATATATATATGTACATATATATATATGTATATATATATGTGTGTGTATGTATATATATATATATATATATATATATACTATTCTGCTGATCTTGAGATTTAGTTGCTATCAAGTGCCTGAGGTGGTGCTGTTTAAGTTGGGTTTTTTTGTTTTTTTTTGCCTCACAATCTTCATTGGTGACATGTGGTAATATAAAAAAGCTTTAAAATGAGACAAAAAACTTTCCATTTCCATTTGAGCAGTGTTCTACAGCTGTGTCAGTTTCGTGGTCTCTGTGAACAGTTGTGGTTAATTTGAGGTAAATTAAATTTATTGGCATAATTTCAGTTGGGCTTCATTACCTTACACAGGTTTTATGTGTGTGTAAATCATTTAATTACAATAACACTGACATTGAACTTGTTTGCTAGATTACGTGATTTGTTTTCTGGCAAACTTGAGGTGAATTTGGTTTGCTTAACTAGCCTCTCCACTATCGATGAATTTAAAAAAAATATATATTATTTTACAATGTGACTTCAATTTAAACAATAAATTACTATGTAATTGCTGTTAAAATATTGTTACAGTAGTAATTCACAGTGTTTCGCATAAATGTAAAATTCTACCATTTTTTTCTTTCGATGTTCTCTATTTGAAAACTCAGGAAAGTGATAATGACATGTATCGTACCTCATAAGCTTGTGTCGAAGCACTACACACTACAAGAGCATTTGGCTTGCATTTGAAATTCCATCATCAAACCATGAAAGGCTATATAATACCTCAAAAAGCTCAAAATGAAATTAGAAGGTTCCTACAATGAATGTATGAGAGTAATTCTGGTTTATTTGCAAGAGACAAAAAAAAAGTTATTTTGGGGGGTTCTTTACATTTGGATTTGTCTGAAATAGAAAGTTGTAGTACGATTGGAGATTTGCCTTTGAAAAGAATCAGAACCATAATGTATGTGTCAGTTGTAGCCTTGAGGCCATTTCTGTTTGGAACACAGTTTTTATTTCCTGTTGGGTAAAAATCTTCATTTCCATCATTTACAATGATCCTGTTCCTTAGTTCGCTGTTTGGAGACACAACTGTTCAGCTTGTGGTGACGCAGAGTGGAGAGAGATTTGAGAAGTGCAGACAAATATCTTGGGGTTGAGGAAGACAACTGCCCTGAGCTGTTTCATTCCATCCTGCTGCTGTTTTATCATTAATAAGACCTAAGGATTATGTATAGCCTAAGTTCCTTTCTACCTCAGTTTGTTCGTTATCTCTGAAAGGCAAATTCATGAAGACAGCGAAATGTCAGCACCTATTCTGCTTGTTTGATGCGGAAACCTTTTGAGAGAAACAGTGTTGTGCTGTTTGCAAAATCTATTAGCTTTACATTTTGATAACTCCCAAGAACCCTGTTTCTCACCACATAATGCACTTAAAGGGGAATACCACTGAATGTCAGGTTTGGTATACACTATGCCTTTGCCTTAGGACAATTTGGTCTGTGTTAGCTAACATCCACCAGTGGATAATGTTGCTATAACTTCTTTTGCCCCTGAATCTGTGATGTCAACTAGAGAATCTAAATGTGAAAGCATCCACAGTGATGTTATGTACATATTTTCTGGCCAATTACATTAGTTTAACATGAGGTATACGGAAAAATTGGTTTGACCTTTGTGGGCCATAACTGTAACATTCATGAATTGAGTGGCATTCCTTTTTAAGAACATGTCTTAAAGGCTCGTCTCACAAGATCTGTACACAAAATGCAACTGTTATTTTACCGTTTGTCATCGTCACGTTTAAACTGTTACCGTGTTATTAATCACTATTGGCTGCCATTAATCAGTACATTTCCATGCAGCATTTCTAACAATGAAAAAAGCAGGTCTGACAGCTGAATTGGCAAGTAAAAGTATTGAATGTATTATGTCCTCTGAGCAGTAAGGAAAGCAAAGCACTTGCACATTGAAAAATGCCACTAAAGTAGAAAGCACTGTATGTGTATAATACTGCAGAGGTATTAAAGGACCTTGTGTTTCTTTTCATAGGAGGTCCCCTCATGTTTGTTATCTATTGCACATGTTTATCCTGTTTCTTTTTTTTTTCTTCTTCTTCTTCTTTTTTTTTAGACAGTGTGCGTATTGATTCACTGCCACCTGCTTTGGAATCATTAACTCCTCCAGACCTGAATCAGGATGTTTACATCCAAGACAATAACAGAAAACACTTCTCAGCAGCACGGAAAGCTAGCAAGCTTGCCAACAGTAATATCTTGTTGTGGTTTCACACTATCTGTGTTATATATTTATAGATGTTAACTGCAGTCATAAGATGGATGGCGTTTTCAGTGAATGCGCACAAACTTACATTCATGGGTAAAATAGTAACCCAACCCCAAACCATTTGATTTACCTAGAAGCATCATCATTTCATTTGTTCAGTTAGAAAACATTCACCACATGAGACATTTTGTTGATGTGTTGTACATGTAACTGAATAGACAACAGTGTTAATATGTGTGTTTGCTTTTAAGAATTGTTTTTCTGTTGTGTCAAGTATAATCAAAAAAACATGTAGTTACATAAAATTAGACTAATATTCATGTGAAACACATTTTTTAAAAACTGATTTTACTGTTTTCACTGGATGAAATGAAGGAAATGAACAGAAAACTTCAAAACTGCAGCGCTCCCCTTAAATATTATGTCATTAATTATTGCACTTTGATGTGTTTATTAATAGATTTTTCTTTTCTTTTTTTTTTCCTTGAAGCCAAAGCAAATCATCTTTCTTTTGACAGTGTTATGAATTTCATTGTCCTTAATGCCACAATGTAAACTGTGGATATTTTTAATTGGAAATTTTAGAGCACTCTCACTGGGCAATGTCAAGTTATTGTATCACAGTATGTCAGATATTTTCAGGAGACGTGAGTTTTGTTAAACATCAGTACTTTTTTACCCTCTCTGAGTTAATGAACAGTCATTCACCTCTGCCTGGAGTACTCGTAGACACATGACTAATTTGTTTATCTTTAGAATAAAATGCAACACAGATATCAGCAGAAAATGTCACCTACCACACAGACGTATTGTCACACTGGAATATAATTGTTTCTGTGTCCGTGATTGCTAATTTTAAGAAGTCATTTTGTTCATGGCTAGGTTTTTGACAAGACGATAAGAAGCCCTAAGTGCCATTAACAAGCACAAATCTCACAAGTTTAAGAGGTCGACTGTTCATGAACTTAGAGAGAAATGTGTGTTAAAAAGGCAGAAATGTTCCACTCGCATTAAGTACTACTTATAATCACTTAGACAATAATAGATCTTGTCACATATTTGCTTCTTCTTCTTTTTTTTTTCTTTTCTTTTTTTTCTTTTTTTTTTTTTACTGTCTCCCAAACAGTGAAACAGAGCACAGTGTAACACAAGGCACATGGATGAAAAGTTACTGTACATTTGTATGTTTTTTAATTTTCATCCGAGCTACACAGTAAAAAGACGTACAGCAAGATCTGACATGAGGAAAACTATTCTACACTTGTGTGTATATTTAACGTGCTGTAGATGTTATCATTAAAAATAGTCATTCATTATTGAGGGTGATGTGATGAAAGGGCCTACAGTCACAAACAACACTTGAGCAGAACCTTTGATAAGCACATCGAGTCTCACAGTGATGCTGACTCAGTCACTTGAATCGCTTTTTTTTTCAGAATCTGTCAGTATTCCTGTAATTACATTTGTTGAGAAACTGCTTAAGCTTTTGATTCCATCCTTATGTAGTTTTATAGTCTGGCATTCTTTATAACCATTTCTACCTCATTACTACATATTGTACATGTAGTACTTATGTCCTGTCATTTTGAATGTCATTACATTTGTGGATAAAAAGTTAAAACAACAACAATAAAAAAAAAAAATAATAAAAAGTTAAAAAAAAAAGTGAATAAATAAAAGCTTGCCCTTGAATCTGAGCAGTCTACCTCAAAAAGACTGTCTTTACACTGTCAAGTACAAGTCAAAGAAAAAAAATGAGGCACCTTGAGGGCAAACATGAAGTTAACCTGCACATACTGGCATACAGTTTATTTACAATTCCACCTTTTCATCGAATTGTTGTGGACTGTGTAGGTCTTCTACAAGGTCTCCAATGCAAATTCATTTCCTGAAAAGTAACAAATTGCTTTAATCTTTTGTGAATTGTTGTAGTGCGCATGTTAATGTGTATGTATGTGCACTTGCAATTCTACATGCAAGTATGAGGGGGTAACATTATGATATGAAGAATTTGATTTTTCACTTTTCATATACATGTACAGAGAATAAACTTGCACATAGCTGTATGTATTGTACATTTGCTAATGATATACAGCATACATACGAAAATGCACCACATACATGTTTATATGTGTGTATGTATTGCCATACTTACAGTACAGTCGATTTAAATGTATTTTAATTTCAAGGTACATAAAGGTTATTGAAATACTGAATAAAGATGTTTTCCTTTTTTTCCTGAAAACTGGATGCATTTTGTACCTTTACTTGATTAAATTTGCGTTGGTGTGATTGATTTAAGCCTGTGCTATTTCCATTCTCAGCTATTTCTTGTGCAAAACAATGTTCAATATGTGACAACTTAAATCAGAATTTCTCTATTTCACTGGTGTTTAGCGAAAACACAGGAATGGTAATTGAGTTTTCAGCAGTTTACAGAGGCT